CACTCGGAATGGTACCAAACAAGGTTGTCCTTTGGCACCACTCCTGTATGTATTAACTATAGAACCGTTGCAAAGCTGCAAAAAGACAAAATGATAAGATTGAAGGACTGCAGATTCATTCTGAACATCATAAAATTACTTTATATGCAGATGATGTTATCTTGACGCTCTCTAACCCAATAGATTCAATTTCAAATGTATTGAAAGTAATTTCAGAATTGTGCAATTATTCAGACTATAAATTAAATATGAATAAAACACAAATATTAATGGTTAACATAAACTCTGATTATTTAGGGTATTTAGAAGAAAAGTTTAAGTGGAATTTCTATAACAATAAGGTAGGTTATCTAGGAATTGTAGAAAATAATTATAAGAAATTATTATCATTTAAAGAGAATTTTCAAAATTGGAAGGGGTTAGAAATTTCCTGGTTGGGACGTATAAATACAGTCTCAGCATATGTGATACCAAAATTAATGTATTTATTTTGATCCATACCAATAAGAGTACCCCGTTTAATACTTCTTTAAATTAAAAAATAATTTATTAAATATATTTGGGGGAATAAAACACCCAGAGTCTCATTTAATACACTTACTAAAAGAGTGAATAAATCCGGGATAAATCTTCCTGATACAATAGAATTACATGATTGTACCATGTTTACTCATTTTTTGAAATAGGACATTCCTACTAATCCTGATCCAAGCTGGAAATATATGGAAACAAAAAGTACCTCTCTATTTAAACTAGCATGGATTGGTTCTGAACATTATGTTTTTACAGAAAGTCAAATAAGATTTCAATACATAAAAAAGTATTCGAGATGTGGACCAATATTTTATAAATCAAAGGTAATCATATATCCAGAGCATAAAACGAAGTAAAAAGATATAAAAGGACATATATATAAATGTAAGTTGGCCGAGACTTAAAGCATTTTCATATCCTCAAATAGCCAGCATAATGAACTCCATGCTCTTCCCGAATTAAAATATAAAATAATAAAATAATTCTATATGAAAGGAATCAATGAGAAGATAAAAATCGAAAATAACGTTATTTTTATTTTTTTTAATGTAATGGTATTATTAAAGGAGTGAATGAGGTATAAATGGAAGTAACAAATGTATATATGTTGGAATAGCATGCATTGTTAATATACCATGAACATAAATAAATGTTAAGGCTTGCCACATGAACAGATTGGACAAGTCATTCTAATCTCTCTAATCATGACATTTGCTACAAATAGGGTTATTTTGTTTCTTTATCATAGGTATTTGACACAATTACGTTATTTTACCATTTGATATTTTGTTCCTTTATCATAGGTATTTGACAAAACTATGTTCCTCTACCACTGATATATTTTTTCATTAGACTGTATATACTTTAGTTTATCACTAGTTACCAATACTTGCACCACAGGTATCTATATTAGATTTTAACTATTACTAATAAAGGTTATATTGTATTAGTTCTTCACTAATTACTAATATCTGTACCATAGATACCTATATCAGATTTTAATTACCAATAATAAAGGGTATATTCTATTTTATTAGGGCACTCATTTCTTTGTTCTCCTCATTACTACCTCTCTAGCTTTTGGGTTAACCCCAACACAAGTGTTCTTTACAGCTTCCATTTCCCTGTTTTGTCTTTAAAAAAAATGTATGGTATGTACATGTTAAAATGAAAAAAATATATTTTTAATAAAGACTAAGAAATAAAAAAAATAAAAAAAGAGGTCTTAATCACTTACTCAGGTTTTCCATATTTCTTTTTTATTGGTTTTGGTAGTACTCCAGTGCATAGTACCGTGATATAATAATAAAATAACAGTAATGGTAATAATTCAATGATAGAATAATACAATAGTAAAATAATACAATAATAATATTACAATTATAATATTAATATTAACACAATACACAATCGCTGACGTAGCAGCTCATCGATCAAATATGGCCTCATCGGCTTATCACTCACATGTACACATAACATGATAATACGTGTAGTATCGTTAACATTAACAGCAACGTATGAGCATCACCAGATTTGCTTTTCATCGATGTTATGTTATATCTTCGTTTGTGTGACAGCTCGTTTGAGGTGTTTGTTTTTGACTTAGAGCTATAGACATTTGTGCTATCTGTTGTTGATGTCCGCACTAGCTTAATTCTCTATCTCGTCATGCAACCGGGTACAAAAGGAAAAAAAGTTAAGGGAAGGGTAACATTCAACAGTAACTCTACTGGTATAACCGTGTAACCTGAAATTTCCCTGTTTGGTACTGCTATCGGACCTTGCGGTGACTTACTCAGGTTTTCAAAGTAAAACTTCTGCCCACTGGGTCTCTTGTAGAAACATGGTGACTCACTCAGAATTAGATTCTGGCTCCCAAGCAAGTACCAATACCTTTCAGAATCATTAGATATATACCCTGTGGATTATCAAGTCTTGCCCAGGGGTGAAGTTAAGGCGTACCTATAGAAACAATAAGTGACCATCCACTTGTGTTCCAGACCAACATCAATCCAAATGGAAACATTTGGTTATATCTACTCTTATGTACTTGCCACAGAAATAATAATTGCATCTATGAATTTGTTACCATTTTTCCATTCCATAGATATGTCACACTCCTTGGCGTGACAACGGCATTTATGTATAAATGATTGCCAGGCTATACAATCATACCTGTAATCGTGGAATCGTGTATAAAGACTTAGCACCATTGCAAATTATGCCATAACTACAGTCAAAGGGCTCACAGTGCCATGGAACATGGAGCCGCAACAATGCAAGCCTCTGAATAATGAATGCAAAGACTAGCTCTCTGTATCAGGGCTGGAAGTCCGCCTTTCAATATATCTACCGCTTCTTATACACACACAAGGCAACCCCTATTTTTTCACTACTGGTGTTAGTGGGGGCCTCATATTTGAGTTTTGCCTAAGGCCTTGCAAAGTCTAGAGCCGACCCTGGTCATGCCAAACTAACCTAACTGCATTCTACGAAGAAGTAAATAGCAGTATAGATCAGGGTGTTGCAGTGGATGTGATCTACTTGGATTTTGCCAAGGCATTTGATATGGTTCTTCACAATAGGTTAGTGTTCAAACTTAAAGGTACACTATAGTCACCCAGACCACTTCAGCTTAAGGAAGTGGTCTGGGTGCCAGGTCCCTCTAGGGTTAACCCTGCCTGCTGTAAACATAGCAGTTCCAGAGAAACTGCTATGTTTACATTTGGGGTTAAGCCAGGCTCTAGTGCCTGTCTTCTGGACAGCCACTAGAGGCGCATCTGCGATGCTGGAGGCATATTATGCCTCCATCACGCAGAGCGTCCATAAGAAAGCATTGAGAAATGGGGAGCTGACAGGGGAGCTGACGTTGGCAGGGGAGGAGAGGTAAGGGAGCCCGGCAGTGGAATAAGGTGAGTAATTGAAGGGGTTTTGATTTGTTTTCCTTACACTACAGCAGTACACCTCCTTACACCTTTTTGAGCCCGAGTGCCCAAACCGCAATACATGCCAACTTTCTTCCCCCCAAAGTGCCAACACGGCAATTAAACCTGAATACTGAAGTTTAAGTTTAGAAAAAACAACTTGTACAGTTGTCCGAACTAATTAAGAACTTTGTTTTAAAAGAAGAACACAACAGAGAGTTCAATGATACAAATTTTAAATAATGATATAAATAGATAAAATTAAGCTTATATTTATTAGTATCTCCAACAAATGCAATACGTACACACAGACTGCTGAACACATTCACACACCGGCCGCTAAATACACATACAGATAGACAGCTGAGTACACACAGACTGCTGAGTACACACACACACACACTGTCTGCTGAGTACACACACACTCTGCTGAGTACACACACACACAGTCTGCTGAGTACACACACAGTCTGCTGAATACACACACACACACACACAGTCTGCTGAATACACACACACACAGACTGCTGAATACACACACATACAGACAGACTGCTGAATACACACACACATACTGCATTAAGGGGTGCAGTGTATGTGTTTGTGTGTAAGGGGTGCTGTGTGTGGGGGGTAGGGTGATGTGAGTGGGGGTGCTGTGTGTGGGGATAGGGTGCTGTGTGGGGGTAGGGGTGGTGTGGTGGGGACTATGGCCCAGTAGTGATGGGAGTGAGCGCAGGACTTATCTTTTTGTATTTGTATTTACTTTGTATCACACAGCCTTGTTACAATGCTGCCACCCATCCCATGTGTTCCCTATTAAAGGACCACTACAGGCACCCAGACCACTTCAGCTTAATGAAGTGGTCTGGGTGCCAGGTCCAGCTAGGGTTAACCCTTTTTTTTTTTTATAAACATAGCAGTTTCAGAGGAACTGCTATGTTTATGTTAGGGTTAATCCAGCCTCCAGTGGCTGTTTCTTGACAGCCGCTAGAGGCGCTTGCGTACTTCTCACTGTGAAAATCACTGGGACATTGAAATGATCTGAAAACTCTATTGTTGAGAATATCAGCTGACACTCTGAACTAATAAATAATAAGCAAAATTGGTAGTGTAGTGGTTATGGTGCTTAGATTATCCATTAAAGTCCTGTTTTCTTTAAGCTATAGATTATCTATATTATTATGGGTAACAGTGTTGCTAGCCCTTCCTAGGGCAGGTATATATTAAACCAATACAATGTATTAACAAATAGAATAAGTAACAACTTCAGTGATGTATTTAAATACACGGAACCTTTTGTCTCCGTCCCACTGAGCTACCCGAGCCTTAATATGTGCGGACCGCAGTGGAATGAACCATTCCAATAAATATTTTAATAATTTCCTTACGCGCAGTTGACCCGGTATGGCCTATAAAATCTCATTATTGCTGTTTTGCAATGCAATTAAACATTAAACGCGCTTTAAACCTTCCGTAGTGATAATCATACATGTTCACTGTGGTTTTCCCCAGGCAACTTCCGGTGTGTTTGCAATCGTGTCCCCACTTCCTGTTTCCTGCACATGTTGGAGTTATGGGGAAAAAGAAGGCACCGAGTACCACTTTAGGTCGATCTCTGATTAAAGAGCGAACCCGAATCCAGCGGGGACCACGGGGCAAGGACTCCTGGGTAAGAGCCGCTTCAATGTGATACACTTTAGATGGTGTCATGGTGGGAGAGGATTCTTCCTACACATGTGGTCATTCACAGGGACTGATAGTTACAGCAACTCTGGACCTTGCAGACATTGTATCTAGGGCTGGCTGAATACACTGGAGATGTGGCCTGTTCTATCACTTACACTCACAAGAATATGTGATTTGGGCTAAAACTGTAGATCGTTTTTTTTTTTTTTTTTTTCAGAGCTGCAGTTTTAGGTAAGCTGTGCTATTGGGGTTTCAGTTCAGAGCTAAATTAATGAACCTTTAGTCTATTTAATAAAGTGCATAATGTCAGGAATTCAAATTTGAAGGCAAAATAGCCAAGCTAGAAATGTACCTGTCTAGGAGATTTTTCCAACTCTTCTGTGTTGGCCTAAAATATGGAATTATTTGGAATACCTGACATTTGCACTTTAGAGAACAATACTGAGCTGTAGTTTTCAGTATGGTTTTGTCTAAAATGTGAAATTATAGTATGCACAAAAGATTATCTGAAGAACAAATTGGTCTAGCTCAATGTTATGTCTCATTATGACTAAACACAATTCACAAAATGATTAAAACATTGGTCTCTTGTAGCTTCACACTAGTGAATTAAATGATGGTTATGACTGGGGACGGCTTAATCTTCAATCCGTGACTGAGCAAAGTTCTATTGATGACTTTCTTGCAACAGCAGAGTTGGCAGGAACAGAATTTATTGCTGGTAAGTGAGATGGAATTACTAATATCAATATAATTTAAAGGAGTACTCTAAGCAAAATATATGCTACAGGCTGATGTAGCGTTTTATGGTGACACCACCTGCCTAAAATACTACCTTTTCTAAGCTGTGGAACTTGCTTTCAATAACTAAACTGGTCCATTCCCTTTCTGACCAGCACAAACTCCTTTGTTTGTGCTGGACAGTGACCAATCAAATGATTAATAGAAAAGCATTGTGGACAAATTAAATAATTACAATAGATTATCTGAAAAATATAACATTCACAATAATGTTATATGTAAATATAAACCCACAGGGTTTTTTTCCAGTCTTACTTTATTTCACATGGGATGCTGCTGGTAGGGGTCAAGGTTTTATGAAGGGAATAAATTAAACCGTTTCAGAGGGTGACACTGAACTCCTAAACAGCAGAGAACTGAGCATTGAGACTGGAGTGGTATGATCTATGCATCAAAGCTACTCCATGAAGTGGTTTCAGTGGTTAGAACATTTCATAAAATGTCATAATCCCATATAAACACATCAGCAAGGAGGCATTTAAAATGTTTATAGCAATCTTGTTTTTTGCAACTTTTGCAGTAGGCAAAAATCTTTGTTTTTGCATTGTTCTTGTGAAATCACTCGCAAATGTAATGGTGAATTTAGTGGTTAAAATATCTGGGTTCTGCCGAGCACCTGCACCACATCTGGTCTACCCCAACAGGAGACACTAGGTGTCATTTCAGAGCAAAGAAAGACTGGAATCATGGACTGAGACAGCTCAACTGATGCTCTCAGCCAGTGATTGTAGTTCTGTTGTGATCTAAAGTGATATCTGGCGGAAGCACAGGTCCCCATAGGAAGTTGCCAAACTGTTTGATATCTTACCGTGGGTTGGCATCTGGCACCATAACCACTACTGCAGGCTGCATTTATTGTGCTTGGACTGTTCCTTTAACTTTAAGGGTTGCTCCAACCCTTTTTCACTATTACTCTATAATGCCATATTGGGCATTAGTAACTTGGTCCACACCCTTTTTAATAGAAAAAAAACTTGTAACATAAGAATAAATTAACATGGAATACAGCTACGTGCAAAGTTCTCCACAATGGTTTCCATGCCCAGCCCATTGGCACACTGCTTCATTTCTTCCTGATTAACCCTTTAAGTGTACTTTTACCCTGCTTCAGAGATGTAGCTATGTTTACATTTAATGTAACCTCTCATAATTCACATAAGCTAGTTCTTTTGCTCCCTTTGGTCAGACTATGTCCATGTTGGCTACAAGGATTGCTACATCAATGTGATGATGAGGGTTAGCTTTGGCAGTTAGTTAAAACTGTATAAATAGTTAAAACTGCTTGAGCACATGCTTACTGATGTCTGTTTCCTTCAGGAGGACAACTAAAGTGATTGTGAGCTTAAATGGAATGAGTTAAAAATGTTTCTTCCCAAAATTATGAAAAATGAATCTAAATTTACTAAATTATAATCTTGGTTGTTTTTTGTTTTTTTTTCTTCTTTTCAGAGAAACTTAATATCAAATTTGTTCCTGCTGAAGCCAGAACAGGTTTACTTACATCTGAAGAAACAAAGAGAATTCAAAAACTACATGAGGATAATGAACAGTTTTTATGTATACCAAGAAGGTGCCTGATCTGGTTTATATTTAAATAGTTCTAATGTTTAGCATTTTCTCAGTCCATTTAAAGTAAGGTGATTTTTTTTATTATGTGTAGAATTTGTTTTGTAAAATTATATTTGTGGACTTATTGTGCATACATTGATACTTGAGCAATCAATTTAATGTGTACCCAAAGCTCTGATCAGCAGACTGTGCAGTTCAATGAGAAAGGACACTTCAAGTACTTTTTACTTTTAGAAAAACAAAAAAACTGAAACGTTTTGTCTAACTTACTCATATCAATTTCAGTCTCATCTGTTCCTTAGCAGGTCTTAACATTAGGTAAATACCATCTCAGATGAACAACCTATGACATATTACACAGTGTCATGATTTATTTAACAAAAATAAAGCCAAACTGGAGAAGCCATGTGTGGGGGGGAAAAAGTACACCTTTATTGCTTCCACAGGCATTAGAGCCTAAGTAGCAGACAGGTGCTGCTAATCGATCATCAAGAAGTATTTATAAAAGCCAAAGATTTTTCAGTTTGGAGGTCTGGAACATTCAGGTTTGTGTGAATATAATGCCAAGGAGGAAAGAGATCAGAAAGGAAAAGCAATTGTTGTTACTTCTGTGTGAAAAGTGTCATTTTTTTTTTGTTTTGTTTTTTCATTTAACAAAGAGTGCAGATTTTAATAGAAACTGGCATTTTCATAAATTAACCTTGATACTCCATCTGACAGTGGAGCTCAAACTCAAGAGGCAGGCAATTCTCCAGACTTCTGTGTGAGTTGCATTGGGAACTCTAGGATTGGACAGCCACAGAAATTCCGTTCTGGGGAAGAAGGAGAAGGCTTATAACGACTGCAGATGAGATATACAGCTTTTGCAAGCTATTTTTCGATATACACCCAATGAAAAAATGCCTTATTAAACGTGTGCATGTTTTTCATTGGTTTATTTAGTAAACAGTGAATGTTTTCAAAATATATATTTTGTTTGTATGTAGGCAGTATATCCATATCTTATTACATGGAAATTACATCTATAATCCATTCCCTAAAGCAGGCATAGGCAACCTTCGGCACTCCAGAAGTTTTGGACTACACCTCCCATGATGCTTTACCAGCATTATGGCTGTAAGAGCATTATGGGGGATGTAGTACACAACATCTGGAGTGCCGAAGGTTGCCTATCCCTGCCCTAAAGCATGGATTCACAAAAGGGAGTTCCCCAGATGTTGTAGAATTAAAACTCTCTTAATGGTTTGCCAGCCTCTAGAATAACAAAGCATCCTGGTATTTATAACTATAAGACATCTGGGGATCTACATTTAGGGCAACCTGCTCATTTTCCATTCAAATGCTTCTTGTGGAGAATCATTGTGGACCTGTAGCACATGTGAGGCGATCGTTGCACCCTGGCTTTGCCAATGAGATGCTTCTCTTAAAGAAGCACTGAATACCGTGCATTTATGTGACAATGGTAATGTTTTGCATTCTTAGACAAATATAACAGAGTTTGTGCACAAAAACCACTTCATTAAGATATAGTGATTTTGGTGCATAGTGTCCCTTTTTAAATATTTATTAGGCATCATCAGATATATTTTCATAGTAATATAAACTTGTTTAGTTAAATCACATACATTTGAAAGAGAGGCAATTTAATCATCATTGTTTTATTTGTGTTAATGACTTCTATTTTTAATTAAGCACACTCTAAAATGAGATATTTTGGTTTGTTCCAGACCTTACTGGGATGAAAATACCAGCGCAGACGTTCTCAAGCAATCTGAGAGAGAGACCTTTTTGGAATGGAGACGGCAGCTTGCTAAGTATTTGGACTTTTGGATCATTGTTCTATAAGACTTGCTAGTTTTTTTGTTTTCCAGATCATTAATTGTGTTTACCTATTGTACAGGTTAGAAGAAGAGAAGAAGCTGATTCTGACTCCATTTGAAAGAAATCTAGACTTTTGGCGCCAATTGTGGAGAGTCATTGAGAGAAGGTAAAAATAAAAACTCAGGATTGAGTTCCTAAAAGTGCACATGGCATGCTATTTTCATCCAAGCTAATGATATGTGAACTGCATATCTCATGATACTGAGCCAGCCTTTAGTCTAACAGTAATAACAAATATCTTGACCGCTATAAGTAGCCATCACTGGTCTAGAGATAATGTAGGGCATGTATAATTTTACTTGTTCATGCCAAATTATGTATGAAAATTAAATGCTTATTTTATATTTTCATTAAATTGTGCTTTTTGTTAAAACACTCTTTTTCACTAGTGTAAATGCAATGAGAATTATTTTTAAAGGAACACTAAAGTAACTCCGGCAACTTCACCTCGGATGGAATACAAACGCTTTAGTGTTCATTTAAGGGGTAACTCCAACATCCATGACCATTTCTGCTATTTGAAGTGGTAATGCAGGAAGCAGTATAGCTGTGTAGTATTTCATTTTGAAACACTGCACAAAGTTATTTTCTAGATTGCCTTCCACGCAATGGTAGGTGTGATGTCCAACTGTCTAGCCTAACCACTAGAAATGGCAAATTATGTATTTGGCCACTACTGTAACCATCTTGATGGTGGCTGAAGTGAACAAATTACCTCAAAATGGGAATCTTGTCATTCTGGTATTTTAGTTGAACTTTGTATTGACCATTTATTGTTTTAAATGTGTCTTATCCGTTGTGAATGATGTTCAGCATTAAGGGTTTTGTACAATATGGCTGTAATACATTAAATCTTTGGATTGGATTTTGTTGTGCCTTCTGCTTATCGTGTTTTAATAGTAGGGTTCTTTATTTTGCAGTGACATAGTGGTGCAGATTGTGGATGCTAGAAATCCTCTTCTTTTCAGATGTCAGGATTTGGTAAGCTCCAGATACCCTTTAAAAAATATATTATGTTTAGGTCTGCCTAATGTGATATAAACTATGCTGGTATTATTATAATGCTTTTTATTTTTAGGAACGCTATGTAAAAGAAATAAGCCAGCACAAAGAAAATATTATCCTTATTAACAAGGCAGACTTGTTAACACCAGAACAACGGCAGTCTTGGGCAGAATTTTTTCAGACGGAGGGTGTGAAAGTTGTGTTCTGGTCAGCCTTGGCAGAAGGGCAGAGACTCGCTGCTGATCTAAAGGTATGTTACATTACCCTGGTCCATATATATAATCACTTTGTAATATGTATTACGTTTTTACTGTATTTTCTGGTTGAGCTAGTAGTGGATCTCTCTCCAGTTTGTTGGAATTCTTCCACTACATCGGTCAATGTGATCTGTGGTGGAAGGAAGCCGGTTCCATCCACCAATACCTTCTGAAAATAAATCCATTGGCCTTAAGTTTAACGCTGTACAACTTCAGATTAGAGATATTTATTCTATCATGTCATCCGTATACCACCACGCTGTAAGCAATAAATAAATATTTAGGACTTTCTGCCTCACTTTCACTTGATTTTTTTTTTTTTTTTTTTTATGATTTTATGTAGGCTCATCATCCTAGCAGCCTTTTTTTTTTTTTTGGTTTATTTGTTAATTGAAAATAATTTAGAGTACTCTACATTTGTCTATGATTACAGCTTGGCTATTTTATCCTAATCTTTGCAGTTCGGTTTTTAACTGTTTACTGTGAATAAACACTTTATTCTTCAGAACTGCTCAGTATTCAAAGTGTGGCTTTATAAGTGTTTTATTGCATGGCGTCTGGATCTCTACCCACCTTTTCTTCTGGCTTTTCTGTTAATTTGTGTCAATCTTTATCAATTGGGTTAATAACTGGAGGAGTGAGAGTTCCCAGAAATTCAAAGTGATTTTAACATTTTAAACCAAAATGGAAGAATAGATGACGCAATTCTAATTCATCTGTTTTTAGCCTTAAATTTTAAATTCCTAACAATTCTATATTTATTAAATGGCCCTTTTTGTTTAAATTCACTTGCGCTAATAACATGCTACTCTTGTCTTCAGAACATAATGTAGCTTATTTTAAAGAGAGAGTTAAATAAGCTTAGCAGGTTTTCATCTCATGTTTCATTTTTGTCTGTTGCACTCAAATACAGTGACAATCTGTCATAAACACATATGTAAACTAAAACTATTCAGCAATTATGATAACGTTCATTATATCTTTCTCACCCCTACCGCCCCCCCCACCGCCCCTGTCATTTGTGTTTTCCTGTGTATCAACATGTGGGTTAAGATAACTCTCTATTAAAGAAACTTGTGACTTTGGTAACAGGATGAGCAGCTGCAGGATGAAGAACAGTCTACCGATGAAGAGTCTACCGATGACGAATGTAATGAGGAAGAGGATAATGACATTTCAAGTGAAAACTCTCCCACGAGTGAAAATGAGGGACTTAGTGACACAAGTGATGAGTTTGAAGACTGTGAGGAGGAGGAGGAAGATGATGATGATGAAGGATGGCAGACATGCTCTGAAGAAGCAGAGGATGAAAGGGTGGCTCCAGATCATACGTCTGAAAAGACACAGGACATTGTAATCTGTAATCACAGCCATTTAGTTCAAAAAGATGAACTGCTTGAAATATTCAAAGCAATGCACACAGGGCAGAGGATGAAAAAGGAACAAATCACAGTTGGTCTGGTGAGTTCATTTTCAGTATCTTTTTTTCCCACAACAACTCATGAACAATCAATGGGTACACATCACTGACTTTTCAGACTTCACTATGCTAGGCCTGGTTATGGAAGGTATGTTACTGAAGGTATATTACTGTTACATAGAGATGTCGCGAACCGTCCGAACTTCTCGCGAACGGTTCGCAGCGAACTCCGGTCAGCTGACACATCCTGGCCAATCTCCAGCAGACCCTCCCTCCCAGACCCTCCTACTTCCTGGACAGCATCCATGTTGAAGCTGCCTTCAACATGGATGCTGTCCAGGAGGTGGGAGGGTCTGGGAGGGAGGGTCTGCCGGAGATTGGCAGGGGTGTGTCAGCTGACCGGAGTTCCCCGCGAACCGTTCGCGAGATCTCTACTGTTACATAATCCTAATGTTTGGCTGCTCTTTTGGTAAACACCCCTGATATAACTTGCTGTTCCATTTATTTCATAGTTTGCAAGTGCAAACCTGCTCGCATGGAGAAAATGTGTTTATATTTGTATACTGTTCAGAGAGATGCATAGTTTCAGCCATTTGTACTGACATAAATATTTACCAATACTTGCATACAGGGGGTTCTATTATTCTACACTGACAGATTCCCTAAGATGTTCTATGTTGCAGAGTGTTTCTTTTGTTTTTCTGTTTTTATTTTTATTATTTTGTGAATGCCTGCCTTGGCAACTATATGCTAAAGCTGTGTTCTCTAGAACCCTGTATAAAATATAATTACATTTATTTTATAGTTGGGACTGGTCTGTTTCGGGTTAGTGAGACAGGCTCTTGAAAACCTGAGAAACTATAGATGAATGTTAGTAGGAGATCAAACTGTGCCCTTTATCATCAAATACATATTCTGTTGAACAGTTAAAAAGGCAGTAGATCTGTAAGGGCTTTTTCTGGGGAACAGTTTCACTTTTCAGCCAAAACTTTCTGTTGCCTATACATTTAGGAAATATGTATTAAAGTTCAGGCACATTTTTAGTGCATTGGTTAAAAAAAATTTTTTTTTCTTGTAACTGTCATAGCAAAGTAATTTCTTATTATACTGGTGTATGTACTTTAAAGACCCTGAGATGGTGATTAGCAGCATGATATCCAGCAATATGAATTTTCGGTTTCTGACTGTAGAAACCCCACTGAGTATAAGATTGATGTGACAAGTTGTAGCTGTTCTGGAGGAATTACTCTTCGCTCCAAGCTGTGTATAATATCAGATGATCCAACGTCCTAAAAAAGAACCTGTCAAAAGTCTGTCGCCATGGAACATACTAAACCAGATACCGCTGCCATTAGCAATCTTTTAAATTATGTGGAAGATAAAATGCATTGGTTACCCAGCTAGGTGGTGATGTATAGCACTCTTGCTATTCATCCCAGGTAGTAAAGTGTATGTTGATGTATGTCACTCATATCTGCATGTTTTCACGATATTCGGTAAGTGACTTTTTTCCCTAGCTAATCTATTTCATTAATTGCACAATATCAGGTGAATTTTGTAAATACTTTATTAAAATATTGATTGTGGAACATATTGGCAAGGCTTTAAAGGATCACTATAGGGTCAGGAACACAAACATGTATTCCTGACCCTATAGTTTTAAAACCACCATCTAGCCACACTGGGCCCCTCATGCCTCCATAAATATAGTAAAAATGTTACTGTATTCAAGCCAGAAGCTGTAAATCTGCGTGCTGTTAGACTCAGAAAAACAAGCAGTCAGTTGACATGTGGTAGCCTGATCCAATCACAGTGCTTCCCCATAGGATTGGCTGAGACTGACAGAGAGGCAGATTAGGGGCAGAGCCAGCATGATTCAAACACAGCCCTGACCAATCAGCATCTCCTCATAGAGATGAATTGTATCAATGAATCTCTATGAGGAAAGTTCAGTCTCTGCATGCAGAGGGAGGAGATACTGAATCACAGGATGCGACAGCAGATCTGAGTGGATGGATGGAGGCATATTAAGCCTCCATCAACTCCGTAGTCCCTCTGATTCACTCTGAGTCACTGCAACTGGAGGTGTTCCTAGCTTTCAATGTAAACACTGTATTTTCCCAGAAAATACAGTGCTTACACGAGAGAGGCTGCAGGGAGCTATAGTTCTCACCTGAACAACCTCATTAAGCTGAAGTTGTTCAGGTGACTATAGTGTCCCTTTAATACATTGCTGGGCTAGTCTGTACCCAATCTTTGATTGCCATTTATTGTCTGTGGGTGCCAGGGAGAACCCTGTTTTTTGGTTAAACCACTTGATCCACTGGACACAAACAGAGCACTGTGCTCATGGACAGATAGCAGAAAAACTGCTACAATGTGCTCTGAAGTTTATGATGCCACAAGTGCACCTTTAAAATCTAAACTAATGTTACTGTAAAATTAGTTTTCTTCCCAAAAACTAAAACTTGTTTGGAATATTTCATTATGGAAAGACATTTAAAACTGATGTCTATTTGAGACGAACCCTCATTGCTTGGATATGTTGTGTTTTTCCTTAATTTATATGAGCAGATACAATGCAGGGGAAGTCCTACCTTGTTAGCTTGAGACAAATTAGTATTTTAAGAGTCACTTTTGGTACCAGTACAACTTTAATGCATATGCTATATTTTGGATTCATATTATAAGCACCAAAAGAGTTTAATGAAGTAGTTTTAGTATACAGACAATTGCCCTGTAGTCTCACTGCTCCAATATTCTACCATTTAGGAATTGAATCACTTTTGTTTCTGTTTATGCAGCTCTAGTAACACCTCCCCTGGCTGTGACTCACACCGCCTGCATTAAAAATCTGGTTTCATTGTCCATCAAATGCTTTTTCCACGTCAAGTAATAGACCCAAAGATTTCGATGTACTTGCATGTTGGATTATATTAACTTTTCTTGTATAGTCTGTTACCTGTCTGCCTGCAACTTGATCCGTGTGTAAAAGGTTCGGAACCAGTGGGTCTAATCTGTTTGCTAGAATCGTTGCATATATTTTTGTGTCTACCTATAATGACGACGAAGATTTTGGCATGTTTTTGGTTTTTTATGTGGCTTCAGCAACATAATTATATTTGTACCTGTGAAGTCACTTGGGAGTTTCTCTGATTGCATTATGTGTGTCATAAATTTAGTAAAGTGCTGGAAGAGAGATTGCTTAAATGCTTGATAGCCGACCCCGCGAACCCATCTAGGTCTGGGCTTTTGTGCTCGGGTAGTTGTTGTTGTATGATATTTTCAACCTGTCCAATCATGATATAGGCCCCTGGAGCCAACATCTGTTCAGAAAATAAACTTAAGTTTATCCATAAATTTATTAATAAAAAGAGACGTGGGTTGTTCCTGCGAGAGCTTCTCTCTAAAATTGTTTAAAGGGCATAAGATTACGCAAGTTCATCCGCTATGTCTGCTGTGTAGAGAATATTTTGGCTTGAGTTAAAGTAAATAAAGGGCACCATATTCGTTGCCAACTTATCTCTCAATTTCTTAGCTGGTAATTTGTCTGTTATTTGAGAGTGCATAGTATGTCTGCTTTAGCATCCAGAGACACTATTTTGTTTTGTGCATATGTAATACTCCAAATAGTTTCTTTGGCTTCAAAGGGATGAGATTTGCGTTGTGTAGGAGCGTGAGTCTTTGTCCTTTCAATTTTCTTTTCATGACTGTCTATTGAATTAGTTGTCCCCATATAACAGTCTTATAGGTTAACCAGAGCAGGGCAGGATGGAGATCTGAGGTCTCATTTTGTGCAAAGTAGCCATCTAGGGTTGCCTCTCTATATCATTTTAGCTTTCCTGTCTGATAAGGCATTCAATTATCCTCCATACACATTTTCCTCTACTGGGGAAGCTCTCTGAAATAGCCATTGTTACTGGAACGAAACAAGAGTGTAATGCAGACACTAAAAAAGGGGTAGTACTTCCTGCAGGGTGCTCCAGAAAGGGAGGGCCAATCCCTGAAGACATCAAATGAGAGAAAATAATTATCCAGGCACACCTGCGGCATCTTCTAAAAGGCAGTATATTTTTATATTTGAAACAAGGAAGTGGAGACAACGTTTCGGCTCCTCTCTGAGCCTAAGACTTGATAAAGGCTCAGAGAGGAGCCGAAACGTTGTCTCCACTTCCTTGTTTCAAATAAAAAAAGACTGCATTTTAGAAGAAACCTCAGTTGTGCTTGGTTATTTATTTTCTTCCATTTATGCTTAAAAGTAAGTCATATGTTTGGATATAGCCTTAGTATTTTACAGTTTATGCCTGTCGGAGCAGACTCAGATCATGTTCTGCTGCTAACTCCACCCCATTTAATTTTCAATCAGATGTGATGTTAGTGTGTTTTTCTTTAGATGTTTTTATCTACTGTTGTTAATTGAACTTTATTCACACAGCAACCTCCTAGGGGTTTTTAGATCAGGAGGTAAGAAATTCTAAATTAAACAGACTGTGCAGAAAAGGAAATTTTAAAAATTAGATCTCCCTCTCCCCCTCCCCCTCCCCCCCAGGGCTGCATAAACAAAGTTATTTAACTCCTAAATGGTAGATAATTGAGCAGTTAGACTGCAGGGGCATGACCCATACACCAAAACAACTCCATGCTCAAATCTTCACAGATTTGTAAAAAATTGTGTAGAATGCTGCACAATAAGCCTGCCTCCTTTTTCACATCTCTTAATGTCAGAAAGACTTCCAAAAGCATGCATATAGCTCAGCCTCCGGGCAACACTGATTAAGTCGCTTTTAATTCACAAATAGGCAGTCAGAAAAAGTTATAAACTGGTAGTGATATCATTATATGTCTCCTTGGTTGTTCTTTCTTCAGTGTGTTTTGTAGTTTAGATCACTCTGTACTGTCAGTGGCTGACTGTGTGCATACACTTCACAAGGAAGCATTTTTTTCGATGAGCATGGGATGTGGATAATAAGACAAGGCTTATGATGCAGAATTCTACAAAACATTTATTTGCATATTTTGTGCAAAAACTATGCGTTATTTTTTGCATGCTCAAATCATTATACCAACAAGGCTAAAGTCTATTAATGCATTAAAGTTGTATTGGTGCTGAGTGTCCTTTTTAAAATAATGCTTTCCTTAATACAGAGCTGTGTAGGTTTATTTTAGATAAGATTGAAGCGCCTAATCTATTTATGCATTTTGATTTTTACAGGTAGGTTACCCCAATGTTGGTAAAAGCTCCACTATCAACACTATCATTGGAAACAAGAAGGTTTCTGTTTCAGCAACACCTGGACACACAAAACATTTTCAGGTAATCATTCAGATTAATCAGACTTTTCATAATGTATGCAAGTCTAAAGGGAATTTGTACTGCTTACCTGGTACTCAACTTCCCCCGCCGGCTATGCATTTTCCATAGCAATCACAGCGCATGCTCTGTGGGTGCTGAGGAACTTCTGCTCTCCGTGTCTCTTAATTCCTCGGCATTGAGTGTATTCTGAGGACTTGATTATAAATTGCAAGAGCCACCGAACTAGGGCACAACAAAGTATTTTGACTAAAACTTTAGCTTTTATTAGAATCCATTTAAATGTACACCCACTTCCCTCCTCCCCCCAAATTGAACATTTAATAAAGATAAAATCTTTGTGAAATACTCACCTTGACTGTGTTGGAATTTCACTGAAGTTCTAACACAGCCAAAATATATGTTAAGACAAAGTAGGGACTATTTTGTTTTAGTATTTTTCCTACACATGACAAAAAGGCAGAGCTACCTTTTTGTCAAGCCCCAGCCATCACCAGTGGGGAAAAAGTTTTTCTATGAAGGATCCTGGTTCAAAGCCTCATGCTATTTATAAGGATGGTTTTTAAAGCTAAAATGTTAAATTTGGCATGCTGGGATTACTTTTGTAGTAGTCACAGAATCGAAAACCGCTACACAAAAGTGCAATGACTGTAATGGCAGTATTTCATGGGTAAGTTTCCTCGAGCAGGTCAAACCTCCTATGTAACACCAACACTTTGGCTTTCTTGCTCACTTGTTGGTGTCTGAACAGTGACATCAGTCACTCTATTCCTATAGATCCTAGCCACTGCTCGCAGTGCCAGCTAGGACGTTTACATAGCAACCGCTGCTCATGCGCTGTGGTTGCTATGCTTGGGAAAGCAGAAGCACTGCCTGCTTTCCCTTGTCAGTGATAAAAGGATTTCACTTAGAAGTGTGAGAGAGACCTATTTTGTAAAGTATTTTCTCCCAAAGTATACATTTACTAGCATAATGTATAGATGGGATAGCATGCTCTTTAAAACAAAAATTTAAGACCTTTTAATATAAAGTTTACAGTATATATTTTAGATTAGTATATATATATTTTATATCTCAGCATTGCTATGTTTGGGTATAATCTTAAACCCAGATGCCGAATCTTGTATACATAATCCTATTACTTGGAAGTAATGTTTTAGATCTCAGAATGTAGGTATGAAAAAAAGCATGGAAACCCATTAAGGTTTTGCTCACAAAGTTTTTTTTTTTTTATGTAGTTTTCCTTTCTCTGTTGTTGTAGTTACATTGTATGAATGCATATTTCTTGTTACAGACGCTGTTTGTAGAGCCTGGGCTTTGCCTTTGTGACTGCCCTGGCCTTGTGATGCCTTCTTTTGTGTCTTCTAAAGCGGAGATGATCTGCTGCAGCATTTTACCCATTGACCAAATGAGAGACCATATTCCACCAATCTCACTTATATCCTTTACTTCTCAATTATGAACCCAACAACTGATTGACTCTGTAAATTACTGTACTGTACTTTTGGTGTCTGTCTTGGACACTTCTACTTTTAGTCATGGTTTTGCTAATGTCAGTGGTAGAAAGAGGATCCATGCACTCCAAGTATCTTCAATTGTATTTATTAGGACAAGTGAGACACAGCAGTGTTTCGACCCTTGTAAGGGTCTTTGTCAAGTTTGACAGACTCTTTCAGGGGTCGAAACGTTGCGGTGTGTCACTTGTCCTAATAAATACAATTGAAGATACTTGGAGTGCCTGGATCCTCTTTCTACCACTGATATCTACTCCCTGGTACTGGTGCTGGCCCTTGGTTCAGTTTAGCACCCGGATCTTCATGTGATTGGAGTGCGTTTTTTTTGTTTGTTTGTTTTTTCTGTTTTTGCAAATGGTTTTGGTAATGGACACACTTGGTTCCTAACTTCTTCCTTTGGTTTAGGTGGTTATGGTTCTTGGAGACCCTTGCACTGTTTGTTACACCATTCTCCAAAATTTAACACTGAATTGAAGATCAATGGCCACTTGGAGCCTGGACACACTCTGTTGCTCTGGCTGCTTCTGCATTAGCAGTAGTTAACTGAGGGTGTCTGCTGAATGCTCTTTGCCTATTGCAGTCGCCCATCACAAGTATGAATTGGTATTGCAAAAAGTGAGTTACATTCCCCATTAGCTAAACCTCCAGCGGGGGTGTGGGGTCCTCAATCAGTGTCAAACCAATTGAAAACTGCTTGACACGGAATAGTGTAATGGCGCCAAGGAACATCAGTCTCTATAACTGCATTAATAAGATTAAGTGATTATGGTGACTAGAGTGTGCCTTTAAACTTGTGGCTTCACACACACAAAACAACTATTTAAGACTGTAAGGAGGTGTGTTGGACCACTTCTTGCATCTATAATTGCTGGTTGTATTTTGCAGACTGGTATAGCTGCACCCCATTTGGTGAGTGCTGGTGTATTTCATTTTCGCAGGTAAATGGAAAGGCTTTCTGTCTGTCTATCTACATGTCTATCAGATTCTTTGTTTTCTTCCTCCTCTTTTCCTCAATGTTCCTTGACATGATCACATTGCCCAGCGTGTTCCACGACATGTTTTGGAAGATGTTTATGGAATCAATATAATAAGACCACGGGAAGATGAAGATCAGGACCGATGTCCCACAGCTGAAGAACTGTTATCGGCTTATGGATGTAAGTGGTGTTTAGCTTCCCATTAAATATTATATACAAATGTTAACCCCCAGCACTACACTACAACTAAACATTAATCTCTAAACCTACACTATACACTATACTTGCTCTGCACTTTGCTTTAACCCCCACACTATCCTAAAACTAGCCATAATGCCTATATTCTACCTTACCCCTTGTACATTAACCATGAGCTTATATTATGTTATATAAAAGATACCTTTATCCTCGTGGTTGATTATGATGTCTTCAGAACCAAACAATTATATATTTTTTTCAATAAAACTCAACTATGTAATCATATAAAAGTATATATTTTTCATACATTTGGCCTATCTTTAAAAGTGCTTTGATGCATAATGCTTAGTTTGTGACAATATGTGTAAAAACCAGTCTGAACATTGTGACAATATGTAAAACCAGGCTGAACATTATGTTACTATTTTTACAGATATGAGAGGATTTATGACTGCACATGGGCAGCCTGATCAGCCAAGATCTTCTCGATACATATTGAAGGACTTTGTCACTGTAAGTGTTCTTATTACTGTTTACTGGTATTTGATGTTTTGCATTACTCAGTCTTACTACATCCCTGGCAATAGTTTTCAGTTTTATTGGCCCTGCTTTAGACAGTGGTTGCAGGGCTTGTGACTCTATTGTAAATCTATCGGCAGCGCGTTACGAAAAAATTAGATTTTGTTTGTATAAAACAAATTATGTATAATAACATTTGATGGGTTTATTTTTGAGAATGACCTGTATTTCTGTTGTACAGGGCAAACTGCTATACTGTCACCCTCCCCCAGGAATTGAGCCATTAAACTTTCAGCCGCAGCATTCAGCTTATCGGGAAAGAAGAGAGCTTCTTGAGGCCACAGAACCAAAATCTGTCACTGGCAAAAAAGTCAAGCAAATTGAAAATGTTGTGGACAAAACATTTTTTCATCAGGTAGGACATTTGTGTTAACAAATGTAAAATATGTTCTGGAAGCTACTGGAATATACTGTGGTTCTTGTTGGTAGAAAAAACTGTTAGTGCACTTGACAATCCATCGGTAACCAGATTAATAACCAAATATTACTGTATTGTACCTCTACTGATTCTCCTCTAACCAGCTGGTAGAAGCGATGGATTTGTCATATACCAAAATTTGAATCAGAGTAACTATTGTGAATCCCTAACATATCATTAATTTAAATTAAATTGATTGATCATTTGTCTGTTTCAGACATGTGTAAATACACATTCTGACCCCTACACTCTAGAATGGCACACCTAAGTTACACATTAGGTTTGTACTATATAACGGTGTGCTGTGTGTTTTAAAGCACATGTGATACTTTTCACCACTTTACCACCGATCCCTTATTGATTGAAAAAATATTAGCATAACATTATTTGAAGCAAGGGATGTGTATATAGTCACAAAATGAAAACCACCTGACTAATATCGTGTAGGTCCTCTTTTTACTGCCAAAACAGCTCCGATGCATCAAGGCATGGACCCCACAAGACCTCTGAACGTGTCTTTTGGTATTTGGCACCAAGACATTAGCAGCAGATCCTTTAAACCCTGCGAGGTGGGGCTTCCTTGGATCGGATTTGTTGTTCCAGCACATCCCACAGATGCTCAATCTGATTGGGATCTGTGGCATTTGGAGGACAAGGCAACACCTTGAACTTAGGGATCCACCTAAATTTTCGGCCGAAAATGGGTCTATCCTATATCTGCCGAGAAAGGGTCAAATCTGCCGAAAATTACACCCTCGTCTGCAGACATCCCAACTCTCCCGGATGTTCCGGGAGCTATCCCCACTCGCCTTCATGGAGTGAAGCGCATTTGCTTTCTGCTTCTCTAAAGATGGCGGCCGTGCGTGTGCGTAGTGTCGGCCCGAGTCCTCCTTTTCTTCCGTGCTTCAACGAATCCTACTTTAAGCAAAGCAGGGTGCGGGGAAACACTATATAAATGTATTAAATGCACGTAAAATTAGGATTAATCCACTGATTATTCCAACTGCTCAAGTAATGTCCAAAAGCATTGTATGAATAAACGGATTATGAAATTATAGAAAAACGCATACTTTAAATCTGTTTTGTTCTGTACCTTGAAGGAAGAACACTTTAAGGGTAGGGGGCTCCTCTCGTTTTAGCACTTACTAACTTATTTATGCACACATTTAACTATATTGTTCTTCACTGTAAACCAACCTGAATATTTGACTTTTTTGAAAGTTGCACCCGTTCATATTTGAAAGGGCCACATGTCCTGCAGGTGTCTACAATTGTAATACATTATATAGATCAAGGATGCCTTAAAGGTAGATCCCGAAATATTAAATAACTTTCACTCACATGATGCTTTAATTCTCTAAGCAGCATGGAAGGATTAATACAAAAAGATCTCCTACATTTGAAATTCCTGCACTTGCTGTGTATGCCTGGATTTATATAGTCTGTGGTGAGCATTGTCCATACCAGGACATAGTTTATCCAATCTGGATACAATTTTTCAGTAAGTCCTCTTAATGAGCCCGAAGGGTTTAAAACATGTAGTTCTGCCTTTAGCAGCTGTTTCATTGATCTTATATGATGAATGAAAGTGCTGTCTAAGCTGATGGCAAGTTCTGTATATACATAGACTTGCTGTAATCTGTAATGAGCCTTCTTCATATGACAGCATTTTCTGTGGGATGTATAATAAGACATGGAAAAGGCTGTTATCACACATGTGTTGTGTTGTTTTTTTATTTTATTCCACTTAAAAATAAATCACTGAATTTAACACACTTATGCATTAATACCTAGTCATGTTGTGTGGAGTACAGATAGTGGGGGATACTTATCAAGGCAAAACCTATATGCTATTTTGGGGACAGATAACCGAATGAGGAACGATCACCATGGACAACATTGAAGATTTGACATCGAAAGCAGCACCTGTTTTTACTTGATAAATGTCTAACATGGGATAGTATTCTGATATTAGTCATTAAAAACACAATGTAATACCACACTGCTCTGCCATTTCTCTCATCACAGCCAGCCGCCTGTGCCCGCATCATCGGAGCCAAGGTGAGCCGGGTCATAGTGACCGGGGTACTCATTGTGGGGGCTGGGGGGCAAGGCTTCATTCAGTGGCTCAAACCCCAGTCACCTTGGATCCCCATTCAGCCCGGGGCACCTATCTCTTTATCCATTCCCCCAACATGGCTTCAGCTCGGCTTACCTCCCTCCCTCAGTGAACTGACTGCGGCTTCAGCAATCACGTTAGCTGTAGGACACCATCTACACAGGGCTGGGTAGTACATATCTATACCTGTAATATCTGGATAGGAAAGGAGTGCCAGCTCCTGTGGTCAGTCCCTGGTAAATTAATATCAACAGTCCCTGGTTCACGTGATGATTGTCATCTATACACATATAGTACGTTTACCCCTATGCTACACATTGTGGACTGCCCATTTTTATTCTATTTTATTTTTATTTCTATTCATATTTTTTATTTTTTTTATTCATATTAGATTCTTTAAAAAGTCTAATATTAATGAAGTTATAGAAAAAACTATTTTAAAATAATTTGGGGGGAAAAGTCGGTTTCGGTTTTCAGCCCAGAATTTTTATTTCAGTGCATCCCTACCTTGAACGCTTTGTCATGTTCCTCAAAGTATTCCTGAACAATTTTTGCAGTGTGTCAGGGTGCATTAACCTGCTAAAAGAGGCCTCTGCCATCAGGGAACAACCTTTTAATGAAGGGCTGTACATGGTCTGCAACAATCTCTAAGTAGGTGGTACGTTTCAAAGTAACACACATCCCAGGACCCAAGGTTTCCCACCAGAGCATAACACTGCCTCTGGCCTGCCTTCTTCCAATAGTGCATGCTGCTGCCATCTCTTCTCCTCGTAAATGATGCACACATGCCTGGCAATGCACCTGATCTAAAAAAAAGTGATTCGTAAGACCAGGCAACCTTCTTCCATTGCTGCATGGTCCAGTTCTGACGTTTACATCCTTATTGAATGTGTTTTTAACGGTGGAAAATCCTTATTGAATGTGTTTTTAACGGTGGACAGGGGCACACACGCCTATAAGCAGCAATCATGGTAAGCATTAATTTTTTTTCATAAATTTTGAGCTACAGTATCACTTTTCTGTAATTGGAGCAGACATGTTAGCCTTTGTTCCCCATGCGCATCAATAAGCCTTAAGAGACCATTATCCTGACGCTTGTTCACCGGTTATGCTTCCTTGCACCACTTATTTTATTTTTTTTTGTCTGCTTTCAACACATGAAATTCGAGAATTGACTGTTCACTTGCTGCCTAATATATCCCACCTTTTGACAGGTGCCATTGTAACAACATAATCAATATTCTTCACTTCACCTGTCACTTTCAATGCTGTGGCTGATCAGTGAATGTATATATACAGTATTTCACACAGGGTCTGCAATATTTGTATAAATGCAAAAAACAAATAAAATTGGTCAAATACCTTGCTTATATGTATTTGAAAGTATCCTGCAGGCATTACTAGAAGTACTGCTTAATAAAAATGGCAACAGAATGTTAAAAGAATGTCTGTCTGTTTTTAAGCATAAAGCCCAAATTCAGTAAATACAGTTGAATCATGCATTCTAAAATAAAGGTATTTAAAACTGCTATGCCACTCTTTATCAATCTATAGATTGCTAATGTAATGCTAAAAATTAAAAAGTAGAATCATTTTACTCCTCCCCATACAAGACTGTAGGAATTATATGACCCAAAGTTTTGTGATTGAAAGCAGAGGGGTGGGGAAGAACGTATATAAGCTTACAGGCATTATATCAATGACTAGTGCTATCAGACAGAGAAATGTGTTCTTCTTCAAGCTATTAATAATTCCTAGCGTATCAATGAGGTTGAATAAGGCTTTATGAACTAGATTTCTTTCTGCAAAATAAATGAAAATAAAAACGTTTTATACTCTATTTGTGAAGTGGTTAAAAGGAGCTAAAAAATACTATTCTGGCTTCTGTTTTTTTGTCTTCTCTCTACAATTTAATGTAACGCTTAATTTTCTGCACTTTTCCCTGATATGCAAAATTAAAAATACACTTGCGATTTCTGGATTTCCAAGAGAGAATATATTTGATTTTAGAATAAACATTAGCAGCATTCACATGGGGAGGCTATATTATGGAAGAAATTGTGCTTTTGCTGCTAAAAATAATGAGGATTCTATTCGAACAGAAAGCCGCTTCATTCACAGCTAATTATAACTCAAATGCTTTTGGTTGACATGTGCTGTTTATATATCCACTGCATCTTGGCACTATTTTAATCTATTTTTGCCATTTAACAGAATTTGCTGTGTGGCAAAGTGCCACTACAGAATGAAGAATTTTGAAGTACTCTGCACATGAGGAAGGTGATTCATTTTCGAAAGTCACTGATGAAAAGAACATAGACAGAGTTCTACAACTAGAACCATTGCCATGGAAACTGAACATTCTATTGATTCCATGGACATTGTTCCACTTTTAGAACTTTGCTTCACTTTATATATCTCCTCGTCTAGAAAAGCTTTATAAATTTAAAAAAAGAAAGTTTGTAGATGTAGCTAATTAGCTTTGCAACAGAAAACTCCTAACTGAAAAACATTATCTCAAATACCAGATCCTTACTCTTCAGCTAGGCTATTTTTGAGAGTATATTTTAGATGTAGAATTATGTGAATATTTAGCCATAAAATTGTATCCCATTTTTTGCAGGAGAATGTTCGTGCTTTGACCAAAGGTGTGCAGTCGGTAATGGGATATAAACCGGGATGTGGCCGTATACCATTAAATGCAACCAGCACTGAGACAGTTTGTGGAAAACCCTGGAAAAAGCATGGCAACAAAAACAAAAAAGAAAAAGTTCGAAGGCTAAACAAGCATTTGGATGCATAAAAATCTTTTCATATGGAACCAAAGATGTCCTATTTTTTTTTTTTCTTTCAAGAAACATTCATTTTGTTTTAACACTTTATTTCTAAATACATTGTTGGAATTCTTCTGTAAATATTTTGGATTACAGAAAAAAGCTCACCTCCATTGTATCTCAACTGGGTTACATAATATAAACAAAATTCAGCCAAACTATAATCTAGACAAAACAAAGTTAAAAATTATTACTGGGATGAGTATGTTTAATATTACATTTCCCGGAGTATAGCACCCAAATGGCATAAAAGGAATTTATGGGCAAAATAACATTGATTCTCATAAACTCCTGCATAAAGAGCTCTCTCTATATTAACTATCTTTCATTCTCACTTAGAGCTGCTATTGGATGGCTAAGTATCTACTTCAGTAACTGGGCTGTATCCACTTGGCTTGTGTGTGTGGTTGGAATATTAGAGCTCTTTTAAAGAAGTATTTTACCCGAGTTAGATTCAATTGTGAGACACTGGGGATCTGTGTCTGCAGAATGGAGGGAAGAGAAGTGCAATGGAAGAACATCTAGCAGTGGCACTAAAACCGAGGGAATGTGAATTCTGCTTAAATGGAGGGAAGAGGTGAAACTAAATGAAATAGAACTGAGATGTAATGTAGTGTGGCAGTCAAAGCCTGAAACTTTTAAAAAGGACAACTAAAATTGTACTGGGCCACACTTATTCCTTTCTGGTTTTTGTACTGGAAACCCTTACTTTCTATTTGTAAATGCTATTGCTGTCTCTTTCAAGATACAGATGTTTGAAATATTCTACAAATTTCCTTTAAAGTGATTGATAACCATCTGGTTGGGGTGATTTTTTTATTATTTTTTGGGGGAAATTTCACACTAGAACATTTGTAGTACAGTATAGCACAACATTATTTATTTAACAATGAACTTTTTTGATCAATCTTTTGTATGTATTTTTTTTTTCCATTTTTGTTTTATCATAATGTTGACAAACCTGACTTGACAAATACATTCAGTTTCCTCATCATATTGTGTTTTATAGTCCTTACTTGGGTTCAAAGTGCTATTTACTGCAGAGTTGTGTGTTTCATACACTAGGAATTGAGCCTGAAAATCTTTGTCCTTGCTGCGTATTTTATTAATTTTCTATGTTTTGTGATAGAAAGCATCCTACAAAAGACATTAGATTTTATTTTTTATTGGCTAGGGCTTGATTCCAAAGAAAAACTCTATGACCTCTACACTGACAGAAAAGTCTAGATATGTCATGAGTCTGGTCATGTATTGTCCTGCCCACTAAATCCATGAACAGCATGCTGCAAATGCTCCACGGGATCTCATTGAAAGCATAGCCAGAAGCAAACCCATGTTGTCAGTTGTTGAGATCCAAGATCGGGGGCTTCAACCTCCAAAGTCTCCCCCTAGCAACGCCTATGCTGGTCTTGTGCAGAAAAAAATTGAGCCGTTCATCCAATTCCTATTATTCCAAACCCAAATTAATCAGGCAGTCTGAAATCTACCTATGGAGTCTTACTCAATTAACACGTCTAGTACTTACTAATAGGCATGCATGATATAATAATGCATATAGAAGTTGTGATATGTGCAAATCTTTTATAGAATAATAAATATAAACAGATGATAGTTTTATTTAAATAGACAAGATAATAACCAGCACAACTACGTCTTAAAGTAGTTGTTTCCAGTGTGTATAGTATGTCCCTGCAGGCTTTTGAATGTATATACTGTCTTTTCAGAGAAAAGGCAGTGTTTACATTACTGTCTTGGAATCCCTGTAGTGGCAGTTACTCTGCCAGCTACTAAAGGTGCTTCCTGAGTCAGTGCTGCATGGTTCAGTCCTGTATGGAGAAGCTGAACTTTCCTCATAGAGATGCATTGGCTCACTGCATCTCTGAGAAGCTGCTGATTGGCGCAATGTGGCGTTTGCTGCACATGCACAATAGCCTGTTGATGGGTGAGCATTGGATTAGCTGAGAACATCGAATTTGATTATCTCCTCCAACTAGGCAGCTCTGAGAAAAAAGGTGAGTAAAACACTTTTTTATTGGGGGACAAGGGGATCTGGAGACCTAAACCGGGATTTCAAAACTATAGTCAGGCATATATTTTGTATTCCTGACACTACAGTGTTTCTTTTAAATAAACAACATAGAGATATGTCCCTGTGAAGTTCATACTATATAAACGGAGCACCCATGAAGTTCAGTGACTTACATCTTCTTGGTATCTTATGTCTTGCCAGCTTTACAGCCTTTCTATGCTGTTCCCTCTTTACCATTTGTACATTACAAAATTACATTTAATTGTACAGTTTTCAATTACATCTACTTAGTTCAGATACAATACCAATCTATGGATTGCCCTCTTCTGCTCCAAAATCTTCTCCAGCCTCTCCAAAGTGGAGTTCCCCAAGTACTGACAACTTGTTGAAGGCAGTGTGTGAAAAGTCCTGCTTTTTCTTGCTCCTGCCTCAAGAGTTGGAAATTGCCGACAATCCTCCTACAATGATCAAGTAGGATTGCCATTATATTCCCTTAAGGAATTGATGCATTTGTAACGATGCACGGCACACGCAAAGTCACTATCTGACAGCGCTTTCACCATATTTGAAGCCCCGTCAGTGACTTCAATCTGCACTTGTTTATTGACTCTTCTAGAAAAAATGACACCATCCTATGAATTGCCTGTGGAGTATTATCTAAAGTCACATCCCCCTAAACTGTTGGACTGGATGGTACTAGTAGTAGTTGCTCTGTTGCTTGCCATACTACTTTCTCTCTCTTTCCCTCAACACAACCTTGTGATGTTTGTAAAGGTCATGGTTCAATCCAACACTTCCCCCCCCCCTCTTTACTTCATTGCGGCACATTTTTCACTTTGCATTCTCCCATCTTCAATGTGTTCATAATGGTTCCAAATTTTGTTTTGATACAACACATTGGCTTCTTCTCTTTGGCCTATGCTGATGCTGCGGGTAGATGAGTACTAGAAGCACGGCAACTTGAAGCCAGCATAATCTTTGCGAGAACCCTTGGACTGCTGCTTGTACTAGTGGTGGTGGTAGTAGTAAATGTGCCAGTGCTAGGAGTAGTAATGGAACTGGTAATGGACAAAGTTCTACCAGACCCCACAGTGAACTTTGACATTGGTGTTCAGTGAGTGACTGTGCTGCATCTTGTAGGTTATATACACATACACCCATTGAGAAAACAAGTGTACGGCATAAAATTACTTACCTTTTTTTTTTATTTTATTTATTTTTTTAAATAAAGATATGTTAGATTTACTATTTTTTTTTTTATTCAATTTGAAAATATTAAATTTTTCAAAATAAGGGGTGGATACAGAAGAAAAAAGGGGAGGGGGGGGAGGTTAAAAGGTTTCCGGTACATAGCACTTATATGACACAGGTTGAGCATTACATCCATATACCGGATAAAAACAGGCATTATGTTATACAAGCTAGTACATTGAAATACAGGGAGAGTCATCTACCACTTATGCAAGAAATGTAAAGAACAACACGCAAAAGGCTGTGTAGCAGAACATGTATAGCAGAATGTGTTGTCGTTCCCCACAACATGCAACACAGGCCTATAAGAATCGCATAATTATACTTAGTGTAGAATTTTACAAATTAAGATACTCAGGTGGGGTTGATCTCCATGTGTGCCACAGCGACCACATATGCCTGGTTATATGAAAGAGGGAATATAAAAGTGAAATTGGTTTCATATAGACATTGTTTATCTAGTTCAGCAGTCAAGGCGGGGACTCTAGGAGCCGAAAAGGATTTCCAGGCTCTAGCTCTCAATTGACGAGCTGTTAACACAATTTGGTAGATTAGTTTACGGGCCACACATTTGGTCCCGGGTGGTAAGTCCAGCAGAACATGCATGATGGGGGCAATTTGCATTCCTGGGCTACCATACAATTTCAAAGGCAATGCAAACCAATTTGACAAATTTCATTCTGTAAAAACTGAAATGGGCAAGCTCTTTATTTAAACCTGTAACTTTCCAAAACACCATAAAACCTGTACATGAGGGGGAGAGGGTGGCATTGTTGCACCCATGGGACTTCACAGCATATATGTTTTATTGCCGTAAAAGCTAACTGTATTAAAACATTCACAGTGAAAATGAAAGCATGATTAGAAAAGAACAAGCAATGTTCATGAAACAGTACTCCCTACAGGGCCTGCCTGCAGTGGACTGGTCTTAACAGATAAGAAAGCTGCCTGGTGCCCATTCATACCAAGCTGACTTGCCAGTAAATGGGGTTGACTGCCCCTTTCTTGGCAGGTCTATCCCTTTAGAGTGGAGTTACTGACTAAATTGCATTACTGCCCCCCACCCTCCCCGCATTACTCCCATCCCACTGGCGTCACAATGCTCAGGATACAAAAGTTGGGAGGTATGTTGTAGCAGTTTACTTGTATAAATTACTCCACAAAGGCCTACCATTTCTAAATGTAGACACTGCAGGGAATCTCATCTGGTAAATACTGTGCCTTATTTTACAACCATTTTGTTTTGTTTTACCAATTTCAGAGTTTGTTATTTTATTTGTATGTGCTCATTGCAATTTCATAAACTTCATGTGGGCTCCTGTAATAAAAATAACTAAATTGTACTCAGCTATAAAATTAATACCTGCTAATATCCTTGTCCCTGCAAGCTTGTGGGTGGAGAATGGGGCGGCCCAGTGATACAAATCACATCAGTGGTGCTGCCCAAAAGTGGTGGATCTGCATGAAAAAGTCTGCCCTTAGACTTGGCAGGTTGACCTGCTGTGAATGAATGCAACACTTCCTGTCAATCTCACAGGCTAGCCCCCTAAGGCAGGAAATACAGAGTAAAGGGTAGTGCAAGCACAGCTAATGCTTTATGGGGACAGTTCCCTGGCATCCCAGAGTGGAACACCAGGGAATAAAGTCAGGACTGGCGTGCTTAAATCAGGACAATTTGGAGTCATGTAATATTTCCTGAAAACAGAATGACCATCTTCACATACCCTTGCCAAGTTTTGGAGAAAATGCAAGGCTGAATTAATAACTATCCCACTGCAGGTTATTTTTTAATGGCAAATAGACTGATCTTCAATGATGCATTTTGGGGCATTTTAGTAGCTCACACATTTAAATTGCTCCACAAGATATAAAAAAAGCTTTTTACTTGTCTTTTTTTAGTGCCAAGTTCCACTCCCTCAGCGCTGTTCGAGGCCGGACTTAGGGGTGTGAGAGATGGGTGACCGAATTTAATAAAGCCCCTCTACAAACACTACATTCCTAAACACATACTATACATGGATGAGAGGCACTAAGGTTGTCCCTGGCGCTGCTCAAGTCCCCACCTTCCATGGCCATTGGGGACAGGATGCACATGTGCATCCAATCTCGCAACCAAGCTTCCCCATAGGAAAGCATTGTATACAATGCTTTTCTATGAGCTTCCATGTCATGTGACTGAGTTTTATGCAGTGAGTGCAGCAAAAGCACCTCTAGTGCCTGTCAGGAGGACAGCCACTAAATATTTATTTAAAGGGACACTCCAGGCACCCAGACCACTTCTGCCCATTGGAGTGGTCTGGGTGCCAACTCCCACTACCCTTAACCCTGCAAGTGCAATTATAGCAGTTTTTTATAAACTGCAATAATTACCTTGCAGGATTAACTCCACCTCTAGTGGCTGTCTAGTAGACAGCCACTAGAGGGCACTTCCGTGTCCATAGCACAGGAAACCTGTGCTAGAGCGTCGCTGGACGTCCTCACGCTGTGTGAGGACCTCCAGCGTTGCTCAATTCCCTATAGGAAAGCATTGAAAAGCATTTTCAATGCTTACTATGGAGAGCTCTAATGCGCGTGGACGGCATTCTCGCGCATGCGCATTAGGTTTCCTCGGTGGGCGGCATCAGTCTCGCCCACCGGCTGACGTAATCACTGGGAGGAGCGGCGGCAAGCATAAACCACTGACGAGGGACATCGGCGGGGTCTCAGGTAAGTGACCTGAAGGGGTTTTCACCCCTTCAGCTACCGTGGGAGGGAGAGGGGACCTGCAGTGCCAGGAAAACGGATTGTTTTCCTGGCGTTGGAGAATCCCTTTAAAGGATCACTATAGGATCAGCAACACAAACATGTATTCCCCCTATAGTGTTAAAACCACCATCTAGCCCCCTCCCCCTCCCCCCCCCCTAGGCCCCTCATGCCTCCATAAATATAGTAAAAATCTTACTGTATTCAAGCGAAAAGCTGTAACTCTGCATGCTGTTTGCCTCAAAAACAACAAGCAGTCTGCTGACATCATCAGAAGTGGTAGCCTGATCCAATCACAATGGATTCCCCATAGGATTGGCTGAGACTGACAAAGAGGCAGATCAGGAGCAGAGCCAGCATGATTCAAACACAGCCCTGACCAATCAGCATCTCCTCATAGAGGTGAATTGAATCAATGAATCTCTATGAGGAAAGTTCAGTGTCTGCATGCAGAGGGAGGAGACACTGAATGTTTGGATGCATTGTAGGCAGCCATGACCCAGGAAGGATCTCTAACAGTCATCTAAGGAGTGGCCAGTGAAGTTATCACTAGGCTGTAATGTAAACACTGCATTTTCTCTGAAAAGACAGTGTTTACAGCAAAAAGCCTGAAGGTAATGATTCTACACACCAGAACAAATTCAATAAACTGTAGTTGTTCTGGTGACTATAGTGTCCCTTTAACCCTGCAGTGTAAATATTGCAGTTTCTAAAAAAGGTTTAAACTGACAGGACCACTGCACCCAGACCATGTTATGGAGAGGAAATATAGCCCATGGAGCAGCACAGCTTAGTGGAATAGGGCCTTAACAGAGCTAGGAGGCGGGCATTCATAGTTAGTGTGTTTGGATTGGCTAGCTATTTGGGGTGGGCAGGCAGATACATATAGGACAGCCATGTTATAATTGTCCCATTCTAATGCTTTCTCACAGACCTTGTTGTTGCCCCTCCCACCCTCCCTGATTTTGGTTAGGTTTGGATTTATCCTCCATCTGGTCACAGCAGATGGATAGGTAAATTGGGGGGGGTCAAAGGGGTTGTTATTATGGATTGAATTATGTGTTTTAAAAGTTGGTATGGTAGGTTTCGAGCTAGCCTGTGGCTCAGAACCTGCAGGTGTAGGCATATCTCGGTATACCCCTACATGGGTTCATTCCAGCAAGTTGTTTGCACTTTATTATGTTTCATAATGTTATGTTATATTATTACGGTGCTATGTTGTTAATTTTGGGGTAATTGTCATTGTAATATTGTGGGGGGCTAGTTATATACCGTGTCATAGGGTTCTTTTGACAATTACTCTTTGTATTAAAATTGATATTATATTAAAAGCTGTGGACATCATTTTAGCCAACATATTGGTGTCCGTGCATTATTGGGTATGTATGGAGGGTTTTATTCTTAATGCCCAAGGGTACGACTATGCACCTGTCATGGACTGGGGGACTTTAGTGGTCCTTTTAAATCTCATGTGTGCCACTGTAATACAATTCAGTGTATTCAGCAAAATCTTCTAAGCACAAGTAGTACTGTGTAAACTTTATTTTATTTTTAAATTAATCTTTGTGTCAATTGCATTATATATTATTTTTGCAGTCCCTTTGCATATTTAACCCCTTAAGGACTGAGCCAAATGTACACGTTGTGAATAGTGATGTCCCGAACGGTTTGCCACGAACTCATCATTGAGTAAACTTTGACCCTGTACCTCACAGTCAGCAGACACATTCCAGCCAATCAGCAGCAGACCCTACCTCCCAGACCCTCCCACCTCCTGGACAGCTCACTAAGAATGCAGCTTCACAATAAATGTAAAATGGATGCTGTCCAGGAGGTGGGAAGGTCTGGGAGGGAGGGTCTGCTGCTGATTGGCTAAAATGTGTCTGCTGACTGTGAGGTACAGGGTCAAAGTTTACTCGATGAGTTCGTGGCGAACCGTTCGGGACATCACTAGTTGTGAACGAAACAAAATGTAAACAAAACCTGGCATTTGCGCTACATGTCTGTCCAACTGTAATTCACCTCTTTCATATTAAATACACCCACCCTTATTATATATCATTTTATTCAGGGGAAACAGGGCTTTCATCTAATATCAAATATTTAGCTATGAAACATAATTTAATATGAAAAAAATGGGAGAAAATATATATTTTTTTTTAGTTCTACATGACATTTTAACGGTCAATGTCATAATACTGTTTGCTTTTACTGCAATAAAATACACATATTTGTATTCAGCAAAGTCTCACGTGTAAAACAGTACCCCCTATGTACAGGTTTTATGGCGTTTTGGGAAGTTACATGGTCAAATATAGCACGTTACATTTAAAATTGAAATTCGCCAGATTGGTTATGTTGCCTTTGGGACTTTATAGTAGCCAAGGAATGAAATTTACACCCATAATGGCATATCATTTGCAATAGTAGACAACCCAAGGTATTGCAAATGGGGTATGTCCAGTCTTTTTTAGTAGCCATTTGGTCACAAGCACTGGCCAAAGTTAGCGTTAGTATCTGTTTGTGTGAAAAATGCAAAAAAACGCCAATTTTGGCCAGTGTTTGTGACTAAGTGGCTACTAAAAAAGACTGGACATACCCTGTTTGCAATACCTTAGGTTGTCTACTATTGCAAATGGTATGCCATCATAGGGGTAATTTTCATTCTTGGAAGCTGCTCTCAAAGACAACCAATCTGGCGAATTTTAATGTGAAAGAAATGAAACACAAGCCTTATATTTGACGCTGTAACTTTTGAAAACACCATAAAACCTGTACATGAGGGGTACTGTTGTACTCGGGAGACTTCGCTGAACACAAATATTTGTGTTTCAAAACAGTAAAAGTATCACAGCAATAATATTGTCCGTGTAATGCTGTTTGTGCGTGAAAAATGCAAAAAACTTCACTTTTACTGGCGATATCATCGTTGTAATACATTTTACTGTTTTGAAACACTAATATTTGTGTGCTGCGAAGTCTCCCGAGTAGAACAGTACCCCCCATGTACAGGTTTTATGGTGTCTTGGAAAGTTATAGGGTTAAATATAGGGCTAGCAAATTAAATTCCCTTTACTTTCGGCATGGGTTGTCAGGCAGGTCCCGCTAATTGTAATTAATTAAGATACCTAATTATGTAAAAATATTACATAAATATATATGTAGAATTAATATATGTGTATTTATATATATATATATATATATATATGTGTGTGTGTGTGTGTGTATATATATATATATCTCATTTTTTAAAAATATTTTTATATATATATATATATATATATATATATATATATATATATATATAGTGATATATAAGTATATATTTATGTATGTAGATATATATATATATATTATTTCGTTCTACGTGTATTTTGATATAAATATATATATATATATATATATATATATATATTAATATCACAATACAGTTAGAACGAAATAACACACATCTATATATTTTTCAATTATTTTTTTAATTTTATTTTTTAACTTATTTACAAATTAAATTTTTATATATATATATATATATATATATAATCTCTATATCAATAATTATATATATATTAATAGTAAAATACCCCTAGACAGTATGTGTGTGTATGTATATGTGTATATATATATATATATTTTTTTTTTACACTTTTTAACTTTTTTAAATTTTATTTCCAGCCAGCATGGAGACCACCTGTCATTACAGGCAGACCCCCTGCTGGCAATACAGCCCCCCTGCTGGCAATACAGCCCCCCTGCTGGCAATACAGCCCCCCTGCTGGCAATACAGCAGGCAGCTATCCCCGCCATGTGATTGTGAGGTCCTCAATCTCACATGGCCGGGGGGGGCTCCCTGTGAGTCCCCCCAACCGCGATAAGGGTAAGGAATGAAAGACCGGAGGGCGTACTATTACACCCGGCGGCGTTTAGAGCCGCCTAAAATAAGGCGTTATAGCACGCCCTCCGGTCTGAAGAGGTTAAATAAACATTTACTTACTTTTCTACAAATGCCAACAGCAGTCCCCTCACGGCAGTCTGCTCCGCCCCTTTTGATGTCATGGAGTCTGATGACATTGGTCACAAATCATGGATTCTGAGGCACATAATCAGTCAATCAAATGTTACTCAGAGAGAAGATATGAATGCAATCCAGTATGTTTAGACTTGTGATATTTGAAATATTTTAACACCTTGGGTTATGTATGCATTGTATAAAAAAGAGAGGGTAATTTCAAGACATATCAAAAACTACTGTGGTCAGCTCCAGCATTTGTCAACCTTTCTTTTTTATGTGGAAAGTATATGGGCTCTGTGATGTTACTCATCTATTATAAATACAGTACAAATAAACCTAGTTATTGGCTCTAAATTACATCAGTGTACCCATCTACCTGTTACTTAAATGCTCGGCTATAGTTAAAAAAAAAAAAAAAAAAAATCCATTATAACCCTATTATGTCTCCACTCTCTAATTTATATTGAATAAGGTGTACTGTCGTTCAGAACAGGTTTGGTGCCACCTAGAGATGCACCCAGGTAGCACATGCATACAGCTTTTTCCAAAATTTATAAAGGAAATCATGGTATCACATTACATATACAGTAAATACATGGGGCATGCAGACTGGAACACAATTAGGGAAAGAGATAGACACACACAGACACATCAGCAAATTAAGTTCTGAAAGTTATGACAATAGCTCAATTCCTGATTTACCAAATGAGTTATGTTTGAAATAAATTGGCAATTTGTTTTTCAGCCCAATGAAGTAATGCTACTAGTAGTAGCTGAATGGTTAAGAAGAACAGTATCTGAAGTGACCTGTAGGGAAAATAATACTAGCTGAAGCTAAGAACAAAAAGGGTGTCAGGATAGAGTAATCCTCCACACCAACACTTACAGTTTGACCAGCAATAAACAGCAAATATGCACAGTATGGGTCTGGGAGTGCGCCAGGAGGGTAGGAGAGACCGTTATCCACCTTTAGCATCGATCCGCAGCAATTTCCCGCCGAAAATTGCACTTAAAATGGCCGCCGCGAGTAAAAATACATATGCAGCGACAGAAACCAAAAAGATGGCCGCCGCGGCACAAACTGTAAAATGAGCGATCGCGCATGCGCGGACCGTACGAAACCGTGGAATAGACCACGGACATAAACGGTGAGCGGCTAAGGTCAGCCCTGCTGCACCAACAATAAAACTGAACAAGCAGGGAAAGAAAAAGCGTAAACACTACTCAGAAGTATGAGCAGGAGGGAAAACCAGGGTCCCAGAGACCCCAATAGGCAGCACTCACAGACACCAGCAGGAAATAAATCTGCAATAATAGTGAGCATTAACCCCTTAAGACCGGAGGGCGTACTATTACGCCCTATTTTAGGCGGCTCTAAACGCCGCCGGGCATAATAGTACGCCCTCCGGTCTTTCTTTACTTACCCGGTCGCCGGCGATCGCGGTTGGGGGGACTCCCAGGGAGCCCCCCGCGGCACGTCAGACCCCATGGCAGCCCCCCCGGCCATGTGAGAGTGAGGTCCTTGTGAGGACCTCACAATCACATAGCCAGGATAGCTGCCTCCTGCATTGCCAGTAGGGGGGCTGCCTGTAATGACAGGTGGTCCCCCTGCTGGCTGGAAATAAAATAAATAAAATTTAAAAAAGTTTAATAAGTGTAAAAAAAATTATATATATAATCTAAGTGTGTATATATATATATATATATATATATATATATATATATATATATATATATATATATATATATATATACACATACATACACACACACTGTCAAGGTGTATTTTACTATTAATATATATATATATATAATTATATATATATATATTTCCTGGCCATATCCATGGCAGCACAACATTGGGTAGCTCCTCCCTATCCCCATTGGACAGGAATAATTATTAAGCCGTATAAGTACCACCTC